GCAACACACACACACGCACACACATAAATTAAATTCATCCCAAAGGTGCTAAAAGGGTTCCCGGAATGTTTACAGGCTGACATATGCCTTCATCTTAATCGGAATCTTCTTAATAATTGTACAGCATTCAAAGGTGCAAGTCAAGGTTTGTACATGTGTGTGTGTGTGTTTGTGGTGTGTGTTTGTGTGTGTTTTTGTTTATGCGTGTGTATATGTGTGTGTACGTGTGTGTTTGTTTATGGGTGTGTTTGTGTTTGTTTATATGCGTGTGTTTGGTGTGTGTCATGTAATTTTTTTTACATACGTCTCTATTCTGTTTCTCTTTTATAAGAGTATTAATATCAAAAGATAATTTTAAAAAATATTTACTGCAGACAAAAGTAAAAACCAAAGAAAGAGAATTAATTAAAAAAAATTCTATGAATGAACGTTTGAAAGAGGCTCCTTTATGGAGGTAGCTTGTGGAACTTTTTCACGTTTCGCGTACATCCCAAAGGGCTTTCAAAATGACTGTGAAAAAAGTTAGAGAATGAAAAAAAGAAGCAAAATGAATGTAAATTAGCAAAAAAATGGACAAAAATTTGTTAAAAAATGTTAAAAAAACAATAGGATGTGTATGAGATGTAGTCAAAAATGAGAAAATTTTAAAAAATAACATTTTTAAGTTGAAAAATCAAGAAGACCAGTGGAAACTTTCAGAAAGAATGAGGAAGAATGAACAAAATAATGAAAAAACAAACGAAAAACTACAAAAAAAAACACGAAAAAAATTTTTTCAACTTGAAAAAATTCCAAGATAGGCGTCGCTTTAATATTCCATTTGAGGTTTCGTTCTTCCAGAAACATTTGTCTCTATATCTTTGTTGTTTTTGTAATTATTTGTTATCTTTGTTTGTTTATGTTTAATTTTTGTTTTTGGTCACGTGTTGTTTTTGTTTACGTTTACGATGGCTATTATAGCGCTGTATTATTTTTTATGACGTCATGTGGAAGGTTGCAATGGAATGATAAAATTAGGGAGTGTTTGTATGTGTGTGTGTGTGTGTGTTTGTGTTTGTTTTTATGTATGTGTGTGTGTTTGTTTGTTTGTATGTATGCGTGTGAATTTGTTTGTATGAACGTGTGTGTGTGTTTGTATGTGTGTGTTTGTGTGTGTGTTTGTATGTATGTGTGTTTTTAATGTGCGCAGTTTTTGTGGCTGGATTTGCGTTGTTCTTTAGCGTTTGTCGTTGGGTTTTTGTTGTTTGTATTATTAGTTACCTCGTTGTTAATGTTGTTGTTGCTTTCGAGTTTGTTCTTGCTTGTTTACAAGATATATATAAATAATATGGCTAATACACAAACAAAATGCACATACACACGAGATGTAATTAACTCTTTATTTATTTTTATAACTGTTTGTACTTTTCTTCAGCTAACTATCAAACTGTCATTTATTCATTCATTCGTTCGTTCGTTCGTTCGTTCTTTTATTCGTTCGTTCATTCATTCATTCATTCGTTCGTTCATTCGTTCATTCATTCATTCATTCATTCATTCATTCATTCGTTCGTTAATGAATGAATGAATGAACGAACGAATGTTCGTTCATTCATTCATTCACTCACCTATTGACACAGACATTCATTCATTCACTCACGCATTCACTTTCACTTTCTACATTCAAACAAACACACACACACACACACACACACACACGCCAAAATTTAAATCTTCAAAACTGTTCAACTCCAGCAAATCCCTTTTCTTCTCAGGTTGTCTGAGGGCCCTGTCTGTGAAATTCAAATCGACCCACTGTCCCCCAGGGGACACTTTAATCCACCCTGGTGACATTCTGGACGCCATTTATTTCATCGCTAGGGGCACGATTGAAGTGGTGACCGATGACGTCATTATGGCTATTTTAGGTTGGTTGGTTTTTTAACAAGTTAGTGTGTGCGTGTGTGCGTTTATGTGGCAAGGGTAGGTAAGTAGGTAGGTAGGTAGGTAGGTAGGTAGGTAGGTAGGTAGGTAGGTAGGTAGGTAGGTAGGTAGGCAAGCCGGTAAGGTCTCATAAATTATTCAATAAAAATGTATTTCTGAAAGGCATTATTTATACGTATACATTGTTTATTTATATGTATTCAAACATTCGTGCAGGCAAACATACAAACAAACAAACATGTATACATGCATACAAACAAACATACATACAAGAATGCAATCAAACATACATACATAATAGAAATACAGATATACACACACACATACAAAATCACACATAGATATACTAATTTTCGTGGCCTTGTTAATTATTTATAAAATTTCGCCCGTCCATAATCAGTCGATAATTAAATTACTGTTCTTTGGCATTCCATAATTAATTGAATCTTTGGCCATAATTCACATGCTACCAAGATGCCCGGCTGTGGCTAGTCTTAAATATTTTAAGAGGCTGGTTGTGTGTGCGTGTGTACGTCAGTTTGTATGTGTGTGTGTAGGCATGTTTGTATGTGTGTGTGTTTGTATACGTTTGTACATATATGGTTGTGTGTGCTCGAATATATGTGCATATACTTATGTGTGTATATGTGTATACATTCGTACCAGCATACAAACAAACATACATACATACATACATATATATATATATATACATACATACATACATACATACATACATACATACATACATACATACATACATACATACATACGTACGTACGTAGATACATGAAATTTTTGTGGTTATCGAGAGTTTTTCTTTGTATGCCTTGAAATCAATAGCGTCTTTGTATGTGTGTATTTATATATGTATATATATTTGTATGTATGTTAAAACTATATTGATGAGGTATGTATGTATATGTGTAAGTATGTATGTATGTATGTTTGTATGTATGTATGTATGTATGTTTGTATGTTTGTATGTATGTATGTTTGTATGTATGTTTGAACAAAATACTGTTATTAATTATCATTTTCTAATGAAAAAATACGTATGTACATACGAAGGTATGTATATTTGAATGCTTGTTCGTTCGTTCGTTCGTTCGTTTTTTCTTTCGTTCGTTCGTTTGTTCATTCGTTTCTATATAATTGTAATTCCGTGATAGTTGTACCTATTGTAAAACGATTACTGATAAATGTGTGAGATTTGTACCATGTGGTATAAATGATTGATTGATGGAATGAATGAACGAATGAATGAATGATTGAACGAACGAACGAACGAACGAACGAACGAATGAATGATTGAATGAATGAATGAATTAAACTAAAAAAAAATTTTAAAATATTGATTGTTAATGCCCGCAAATACACACAGAAACTGATCGAATTTCACCATTATACATCCATCACAAATAACTGTCATTTTAATCGTTATCACGATCATCGTCACCATCATCATCGTTATTATTATTAATTATTATTTATTATTATTTATTATTATTATTTATTATTATTAATATTATTATTATTGTAATTGCGATCCAGGCAAGGGCGATATAATAGGAGAAGACATCATATTCGCATCGTCCGGTTTCTATCATCATCATCCTCATCATCATCATCATCATCATCCGCCCACGCAACACCAGCAACAACAACAACACGCGAAGTATATAAACATCAACAACAACATCAACAACGACGACGACGATGACGACGATGACGATGATGGTGACGTCACTAGCGATGTAAACGGCAGCGCACTTAGCATTAACAACGACAACAATAACATCAACAACAACATCAACAACAACAACAGCAACATCATCAACAACAACATCAACAACAACATCAACAAAGACTATAAATACAACACGATAACAAAGTCTAGTTATTCCGTCAGGGCCATTTCTCATTGCGACCTGCATACTATATCCGTTTCCGATTTACAAACCATCCTGGACGCGTATCCGGAATTCGCCAGGAAGTTCCAGAAAAATTTCAGAGTCACGTTCAATTTGAAAAAAGTTTGAGCCAGTTGAATTGTTTCTATTATATTTATCATATATTTATTCATTTTTTCCCAGTATTTTTATGTCTTATTATGACAAATCCTTACTTATGATTATTATTCTTATTTTTACTGTCAGAGGTGTTGAGCAACAAACAAACACATCTTCATATTTTTATTTCATATTCTTCTCAGCAATTTCTCCATTCAAGTTTAATCTCTTTCAATTAATTATTTATTTATTAATTGTTTCATTCAAAGTTTTTCCCATAATCTCATCCATAATTTATTCAAGTTTTATCCATAATTTATACATAATTTATTCAAGTTTTACCCATAATTTATCCATAATTTTCCTCATAATTTCCTTCACACAGGGTGATCTTTTGCAGAGGTCATGCCTGATGGATATAGCGTCTATAAAAAGACTGTCGCATCAGCATGATGGAGAGAAGAAGAAAAAGATGAGGATGAATAAAAAGAAAGATGGCGTCTCTATCCTGGCCGGTATGTGTATGTTTTTATCTCTCTCTTTTCTTTTCTCTCTCTCTCTCTCTCTCTCTTTTTCTCTCTATCTATCTCTCTTTTTTTACAATCATCGCAATCATTATCATCCTCATCATCACCGTCGTCATCATCATCACCACCATCATCATCATCATCGCCATCGTCGTCAAAATCATCATCATCACCACCATCATCATCATCACCATCGTCGTCAACATCATCATCCTCACCA